TAAATCACTCGAAAATTCTTCTAACATTTATCACCTCCACATACAACTAGACATTTGACATTAATGTTGTTTTGTTAAACATCATCGTGCATTCGCGAACACGCAGAGTTGTTCCTCTAAACTTCATTAACTTTCAACAAATTATAAACACATACACGCAAATCTACTTTCATGGAGATCAGTGCATTTGTGGATTACGTACAGTTAATTACAAGGCAGTGGTAAAAGCGCGTATGTGCACGTCCTCCGAACAGAGTTGCGTTGTGTCTGGAGCACGTAACCAGAAAGTCATCTCGGGTAATCGAGCACAGCAAAATTGTAAACAATTCCGACGACTGCACCTAAGCACCACGTCTTTAAGGCGCACTGGGGGTGGATCGTGGATAGTCCCAACCAGCCATCAGCCACTTAAATCCAATCACTTTATAAAGTTAATATTACGTGACGCTGTAACAGTGGAATAAAGTATCTAATATAAGCTCAGTGACCTGGGTCGAAGGTCGGATTTTAGATTTCAAAAACTTTGACAGATACAGGTTACAGATGGCAGTCTTCTGGGGTTGGTGCGCCGTTTAGTCTGGTAGAAGTTTAACAGCGTTTAAGAGGTTCTTGCTGCCTCCATCTTCAGGACGGCGCAACATCTCGGAAAACAGCGATCTTCAACTGAATTTACATACTGCAGAATTACAACAGCACGGACTAAGTCATCTTATTAATTTCACGAATAAAATTAAAAGACTTAGCAACAGCTGACTGTCGTCTTAAGAGAGGTCACTGCTCCCTCGTTCCTCAATCAACTGCTACTAGTATTTTCCTGAGTTTTCGTTCCGAAAGACTAATACTTGTAGTCTATTAAACGCCATTTAATAGACTAAGAAACTGAAAACTACTCGGTGGTATATTAAATTGGTAAGCTACAGGCTATATGAAATAGGAATATGGTACATTATAATTCTAAATTTAATATTGCACGATTTCAGGTGTCAGACTTAAACATCTAAAGGAAACAAATACCAAGAATTGAAAATAAAAAAATTGTGCGATTATTACAGCTGCATAAACAGCCATTCTTTTAACTCTGTACACTACTTGGATGCAGCACTGTTAATAATTTAGAAAAAGCCTGTTATCTGCAGGGTACATATGGGCATAGACATTACCGACGTTTCGGCTTATTTTGCTTGCACCTCCTTCTTTAGGTTCAACTCAGACGCTTCAGTTCTCTGCCTTCTTGCCACCCCCGCCCTGTCATACTGCGTTGAAATTAGCGACGTTTCGGTTGAATTTTATGCTTCCATATTCAGGTCCTCAGTCGCCCTGTGCGAGGCAGAAGGAAGACACTACACACCGCTGTGATAACCTGAAATTTAATGTTGTGACACTCGAGTGTTACGAGTAGCCCCGCGAACGTGGGTTGGAAACCACTGAAATAATTCAAATGATTGCTTGCAAGTCTCGATCCGTATTATTTTACTTTGTCAAATAGAAATTAGCAATTAAATTTATAACCATAGAGATGGGGCGTGTTCAGAGAACCACGAAGTGGAAATCACATTGACCCCCCCCCCTCGTACACATAACTGCAAGTCGGAATTAATGTCCCACTTCCACCCCGGCCAAAAATTTTTGTCGTCGACAAGAGAACCTCAGGTGTCACCTTCAAGAAACGACTCTCATTCTTACGCACGGGATTTTCTGACTCAGTACAGCAACAAATTTGCGATTCGTTTCCTTCCGAGAGTGACGTCATGCTCAGCGGCCGGCGGCCATGTTGTTACGACTTCATTGAGAAGATCGCTGTCGGAGATCTCTCAGGACACGGCTCACGAAACTTCAACGCAGAACGATTAGCATGCGCGATGACGATGGGGCTCAATTAGTTTATCTACGAAGAGGCGTCTTATTACGCATTTTATTAATTTATTTATATACGTATTTATTCACGTATGTGTATATATTTGTTCGTTATTTGTTTTTCATTTTCTTATCATTTGTTTATTCGTTCATTTATTTAGTTAAAAATTTGACACTAACTGCCACGGTGGTCTAGCGGATAGAACGCTGGTCTTGTAATCCTGGGGTCTCGGGTTCGAATTTAAAACTTGTGTTGGGCAAGGCCGTGGTCTAGGCAACACGGAGTTTTCCTCCGTGGCATCCCATTCACACACAGAAGAAGGCAATGGCAAACCACTTCTGGATCATCTGCCAAGAACGTATATGAACAGGTCCCAGTCCGAGAAAAGGATGGAAGGATCCTGTTCATAGGGACCTGTCGTCAGACAGAACACTAAAAAAAATAAATTATTGGACGCAAGGAAGCTTAAGAAAAGTTTTATGTACGATCTGTGGAGGCAAAGTTCCATGCTTTCGTGCAACCAAACAGAGCGGATGAGCTTAATCCTCCAGCCACAGGGTGTAGAGAACAGAAAAGGTGGTGGTCTAGGCAACACGGAGTTTTTCTCCGTGGCATCCCAACAATTACTTCATTCACACACAGAAGAAGGCAATGGCAAACCACTTCTGGATCATCTGCCAAGAACGTATATGAACAGGTCCCAGTCCGAGAAAAGGATGGAAGGATCCTGTTCATATGGACCTGTCGTCAGACAGAACACTAAATAAATAATAAAAATATGACACTGTCCATACGTAATTTCAGAAACCAACGACAGAGGCTACTCGTCAAATATGGCGGTGCAGCGCTCCGTCAAGGCGAGGCCCCAGAAGCCATTTTGTCGAACGCCATGAGTCTTGTTCGTCAGGCACTCAACG